ACTCACAGGGACTGGGGTTTTCGGTGGCGAGGGGACCTGTGGTTGAATCAACCAAATCCTAATCAGCCCGGCCCACGAGCACGAGCTCCCATAACGCCACCTGATCTTTATCTATTTGACCCTGCGCATCATGTAGCAGGAGCATGATTGGCCACGCTCCGAGCACATCAGTATGACGATAACGAAGCTCAGGCAAACATTCCCGCTCGATTAGGAGGAGACGCTCATCACTGGTTTAGTACCTATTTATGGGTAGATCTTCCGACCTTCGAACAAGATTTTCTGAATCGCTTTGATTATGTCCACCCGGAGCAAGCACTCTACATGATCAAAGAAACCCTATGTTGTACCTATGAGACTGACTCTTCGAACTACCATCAACGCAGTCCCGTGAGTTTCGCCGATGATAGCGGGGACTCTTCGTATGATTACCTGGGAAGACTCCGCACACGATGAGCCATCATCGAGGGATGCGGATAGAAGTGACAAAAATGATCCAGAAATTATGAAGCTAGCACGACAGCATATTTATTACCCGCCGCCCAGAACGATCGCAAGAACGGTGCATTTAACCAGTCGGAACATCCAAAGGACCAAGGTGGTGATTTTGGGTGAACCCCTTGTACAAATTTCGAGGATGGTAGATTCTTTGGAACCCCCTCATACCCTGTACGAAGGAATTTCCCCTCTCCTCGCCCGATACAACAACAAGAAGCACTACTGTGATATCACAGATCTACCGAAGTCCCTACGCAAAGGAAGTACGACTGTTACGTCTAGGGGCGGAGGCCAGTTCTTTGGAACCCCCTGGGGGCCTCGAGGCTGAATCAGACGAGCTCGGAGTCAAGATCGCAACTAAAACCGTACCATGGCAAGACATCTGTGATGGGATCACCCCGGAAGGACACGTGGCCATCCAGGAGGAAGACGCCCAGATGATGGTCACGGTGTTCTCTTGGCAATCGGACCATTCGTTTATCTTTGCGTCACCGCCCGATGTGGCGAAACAAGCACGCACGAAGCAGATCGATGTACGAACATGGGATCAAATTTTTGAGTTACACGTGCCACAGTACATACCTGATGAGATTCATCGTTTGATTGCGGACATTCTGACGGAATATCAGGGAGCGATTAGCGTAACAAACACCGATATCAGCTTGTCACTGGTCATTCAACATGAAATTCAGATGGGAAATCATTCCCTCATCCACTGTAAGCACTACCAATACTCCCTGATAGAACGGAAAAAGGCTCTCGAACGGATTTGGGAATTCGAAGCAAGCGGGTGGATCGAACCCGCCACCGGATGGTCATTTCCAGTAGTGCTAGTACCGAAGAAAAACGGATCAATTCGCATATGCATCGATTATCGCAAACTGAATGAAATCACGATTAAAGATGTGTATCCCCTCCCCCGAATTGATGATTTGCTGGATGCGATTGGATGCGCTAATTATTTCAGTAAGTTTGATATTCGACATGGCTTCCATCACATTCTGGTTAAGGAGGAAGATCGACCAAAGACAGCCTTCATGTTGTTTGAAGGCACGTGGCAGTGGGTTCGGTGTCCAATGGGGATCTGCAATGCGCCTGCCACGTTTCAGCAAGCGATGAACATGACGTTCCAGAACTTCGTCAACAAGACATGGCTAACTCAGGGAATAATCAACTTCTGCGTGATCGTATACATGGACGATATCCTTGTATACTCGGAGACCTATCACGAACATGCACAACATATTGAGTGGACGTTGGGAGCGCTGAGAGACGCTGGGTTCAAGATCGCACTCGAAAAAAGCGAATTTTTTCTTTCGGAAATTTCCTTATTGGGTTACGTCGTGACACGTGGAGGATTGCGGCCTGACTCGAGAAAGGTCGCGGCTGTGAGAGAAGCTCCAGCTCCCACGTCGTTGACGCAGGTTCGAGCCTTCTTGGGGTTGGCATCATACTATCGCCGTTTCATCAAAGGCTTCGCCGCGATTGCACAAACACTAACGAACCTGTTACAAAAGGACCAACCTCTCAGTTGGGACGCGGAGTGTGAGCAGGCCTTCGTGACCCTCAAATACGCTCTGGCGACGGCACCTATTTTAATCCGTCCGGACCCCTCGAAACAGTCCATTCTTATCACGGACTGGCAACCGGCAGCTATTTCCGTTATTCTAGTGCAGAAGGGGAATGATGGTCGCGAACATGTCATCGAGTACTCATCGCGAACGGTGCCAGACGAACGGAGGAATGACTCAGCACCCCAAGGCGAATGCTATGCAGTAGTCTGGGGAATCCAGCACTTCCATCCGTATCTCTATGGGCAGAAGTTCCGCCTCGTGACGGATCACGAGCCTTTGCTGGCTTTGAAGAAACTAACTAATTACACGGGCATGATTGGACGTTGGGCGGTACGACTACATGAGTACGACTTCGACATCATTCACCGAAAGACAGAAAGACACGGCAACGCGGACGGACTGACACGTCTGTATCGGCCCGCTAAAGTGCCTAAGGGCGAGGAAATCACTCCGTGGAAAGAGTCAGAACCGGCAAACGGGCCAAAGTATGGATAAGTGGCAGTTCTTCCACGTGGCAAGAAGCAAACCAGTGGCAATGGGTGACGGAGGTAACCTCACTACCCCTCTTTCTCCTATCTCCTCTTCATCTCTTCTCTCCCTGCCTGATAAATTTTGCTATTTTTGCGAAGCAATCTCTTGCGTATATATTGTCTCCATGCGTCCTAACGGGGAAGGGTATGCGGAATGGATAGACTGTCGACAGTGTGTCGCACGAGCCCATGGCTCGTGCATCCAATATCGAAATGATAGTAAACCGTGGCTATGCCCCTTGTGTCGGGTTGACAAGATCTCAACCGAGGCTCGTTTTTTGGATGCCACGTCAGAAGGGTTGGAAAGAACCCGGAAATTTAGAAGGGCCGAAGTATGGACCGACATCGCTTTGATTGTCACCTTAGTAGGTAACCCCCTCCAGGATTTCACCAAGGAAGATCGGAGGAGGGCTAATGAAAGGGCTCGGGATTACCGATGGATAGAGGGTAGGTTAGAAAAACGGAAAACGGATGGCAGTGGGATCTGGATGGTTGTACCACATCCGTTCATGAGGTACGACTGGGTGAAGACAGCACACGAAGAAACGGCTGCCCATTTTGCCGTACGGATTACAGAGTCGGCCATCGACAAAAACGAATGGTATTAGTCCAATATTCGGGACGGTGTGAAATTCATCGTCGCAAACTGTCAAGTCTGCGCTGCTGACAAGGTGCCGATCCAGCCGCCAAGATCAATAGTACCAACGGTAGTTGAGTGGTCGTTCCAAAGGGTGAGTATGGATACTACCGATATCGTGGTACCCCCTGGTCCTAATAGTTGTGAGTATTCAGTCCTGTTGGTATTTGTCGACCATTTTTCGAAATGGATCGAGGCCTATCCGTATCGCACACGGCAAGCCACCGAAATCGTGCGGTATGTTAACCGTTTTCTCGGGATGCACGAGGATACAAAAGAAATCCTGACCGATAACGGGGCAGAATTCAGAGGGGAAGTATAGAGGAATCTGGTCATACATGGTGTCGCTGTGCGGAATACCGCGCTGCGACGAAACATCGCGGCACGGGATCCGAGGCCCTGGCCCGATATCGTCAACCACATTCTAGTGGTCCATCGCGGAACGCCCCATGAATCGACGGGCCTGAGCCCCTTCCAATTAAGGACCAATACCGTCGCTTGCGTTTCGATACCAAGCCTCCCTGACGAATCAACGCTCAACCGCCGGCCCACAAGGGCCACGGCATGGGACAAGGCCAAGCGGCACTTAGAGTTAATGGAACGGTCCCTCCCCAGGCTAGCCCGAAAACGCCAGAAAATGACCGAGTTGGCCCATGGCCGACAGGTCCGAAGCTACGAGGCCCGGAACGGGAACGCAGGTCCACGACCCCAGTACAAATTGGGGGACATCATGCAGGTGAGGAAATGTGGTCGCCAGGGTAAACTAGCGCCACGATTCTTCGGGCGATTCCGCGTGATTGAGCTCGGACCGAACGGCGTGAACACCTGCGGCTTGCACCTGAGGTCTCCGGCAGCCGATCGGCTCGCCCGATCATCCGCCACGTGTCCTACCTTCATCCCCTTCCTCCTTTCCCATCTTTGCCTTCATCCGATTCCTCCTCCGCTGCGGAAGAGGACGACGACAGCTTATCGCCTGTCTCTCCGTCTCCTTCTCGTTCTCCTTCTGTTACTCTGTCCCCATCGCCATGAGTTTTCTTACGGAGCGAGCTCTCGGCGATCCTCTGTTGGTGCCACGGTGTCACATCTCGGCGATCCGACAAGTTCATCATCCGCGGCTCAATCCGGACCTTCGGCGACTTGCGCAATTCTTTTGTACCCAGGGAGTGTACACAACCGCTGAGTTTCGCTTCGCAGGCAGTCCCCGAGCGGTTGTGTTGGCAGAGGCGGTAGCAGTTCATCGGCGATCGACTCCTGGAATCAGCCACGTGTCTACGGTGGTCGCCTTCAGTAGCGACATCAGCACCATCAGCCCGCTGCGATATACAACTATCAAGACGTCGCCCCGGCTGTGGGGCCAGCAGTTGGCGTCAGAGTGGAATCGTTGGCTCATGCCCCACGGGGATAACCTTTTTCCCACGGACGGCGTCGACCTCGACGGTATCCGAACCTTCCAGCACGAGACGGCGGTGGTGCTCCCGGAACTCATCCCCTTCCCCCGTCCTCAATGAACCCATCCCCGATCTCCACTTTTGACCTCCCCTCCTTCTTTCCCACCTTCTGGCAGTCCGGAGTCCATCCGCACCTCTCCTTTTGTCTAGAATCACTCGTTGTTCCCCTCCTTGATCCCCAGCAGTGGAGGCGCTGGCGAGAACACTTCGTCGAGCTATCCGTGTGCCTGGTCGGAGTAAAGGTCACGTGGACGCGGCACTGGGATCACCGTCAGTGGGTCGAGTACCTCGAGTTGCTTATCATCCAGGCGTGGCGAACGGAAACCGAGGGTGATCTGCTCGGATTCCTCTTCAGATCGGTACGGCCCGGTCATCGCCAACTGATCGTGCAGGAGCTAATGGTCCCCCTTGCGCAGCTGGCCGACGATCTCCCACTTGAGATCGTCTCGCAGAGCGACAACAACCCAGTCCCACACGTTCTCACGCGGACCTTGGCGCCATATCTCCAGTGGTCGGCGTGCTTGGAGGAACCGGGAAGCGGCCGCAACCCACCGTCACGGCGCGGCTATCTGGACCCGCACGAAATAGCCGATCTCGCCTTCTTTCAGGATCGAACGGCCTCCGAGAACGAGGAGGAAGAGATAGAAGCAAAAGAAGAAACCTCGGAAGAAGAAGAAGCCAAAGAAGAGGCCGATGAGGAAGAAACTCCCGAAGAGGGGAGTTACAGTGAGCACAGCGAAGGCGAGCAAAGTGAGGAGGAGGAGGAAGAAGAACAAGGCGACGAAGAAGAAGAAGATCAGGAGGAGCTGGAAGAGTCGGAGTGGGAAGGATTCGAGGAGAAAGTGCGGGCGCAGGCCCAGGCGGAGAAGAGGGAAGAGATCGGGGCCGAGAAGCGACAGTTGGAATTCGCCAGCGCAGCCAGTCAGTCGCGCACCGACGATCCGGCCCGAGATTCGGAGCCACCTAAGCCCGAGGATGGAGAGACAGTTGCCGAGACTTCGGCCGCACCAGCAAGACGACGACGAAGCCGATCCCCCTCCCCCTCCGTCGCCGACCGCCCACCAACTTGTCCACGTACCGATGCGGGGCATTGGGCTTCGTCCCCGGTCGTTATCCCGCCGTCCCCTTGACCACCTCTCTTTCCGTCAGATTTCTACTCGCGTCACCTTCCCCGACAATCCCTTCCCCATCGATACCTTCCGCTTTTTCTAGACTACCCGCCTCGTTGTCACTGTTCATCCCCACCCTTCCACCCGATGCGCCCTCCCTGACTTCTGCCTCCATATCCTTTTCCTTAGTGCTGCGTGGCGAGGCCACAATATGATCGAGGTATACTGCATGATTACGGGGACTATCCCTGCATGCGAGAACCACGATCACTTCTGCGCGACCCTTTTCCGAACCTTTACCACCCTCTACGCTGACTACCTCGCGTCCCTCCCCCCCACAGGCAACCGATTCCCCCGCTTTCACCGGATCGTTCGCTATCAGGAACTTCCAGAGATGGTGGCCGGAATGGAGAGCTTCCTTCCCCCTCGCCACCCCTCCATATACCGTCTCCCCTTTCCCCTCCCCGGCGCTCGTTGATGTATGACTGATGGGCACGCGTCATGACGACGACACGTGTAATCCCCTCCTTGGATTGTTGATGGCCCTCCCTGAGGAATTAGTAGTAGAGTTGTGTTGCCACGATTGGACGGCGTCCACACTCCTTCGAACGGTAAGTGGCATAGAAAGAAGAGCTCCGCGTGTCGATCGATTAGAGAGATCGACACGTGTCAAAAAGCAAGCAGGAGCTTGCTAATATTGGAACCCCCTGGGCGTCACATATGTGACGAACCACTTTTTGTAGCGCGCGACTTTCTGCGTGGTTGCAATGAGGGGTCCTAAGCTGGGAAGGTTGGGCCAATTACGGGAGATTGGGATGGATGGGAAATTGCATCAGTATCCTCGCTTCTTCGTTTTTTGCGTCGATTATTTTCGGATGGCTGAGTTTGGAGCTGGGTGTGTCCCGGGATGGGTGATTGACTGGTCGAATGGCTGGCGCGCCGCCAAGCACGCGATTAATAAATGTTAACGTTATTTCTTTTTGGTTTGGTTTCAAAACTTTTTGGGCGCGGACATCGCGTGGGAATTTGCTTCGTTCTTTTTGAATTCTTTTTCGAATTTTGTCGAACCCCGATGGCTCTCGGAATTTCGGACTTTCCTTCCGAAACCTATACTTTTGCTTTTTCGCATTAGTTAGGAATTTAGGAATTTTGTAATTAGGACTTTCTTTTGCCGCGCTTGCATTTTGCTTACGCGTTTTTTTATGCGGCTGCAACGGAATTTTGATTAGTTGGCGCCTTTAATCGGGTGTGTAACTGTAATTTTGGGTTGGCGTCACTGTAACTGTATCTTTCTTCTTGTGCTTCGTCTTTCCCGCCCTTCTTCTCTTTCTTTTGCTACGTTTTGGTAGCCACAGTCTGCATGATCGGA